TTTTTTTCCTTTCCAAACTATCCCAGTGAATGCATTAGTAACAGATTATAGGTTACAAGCATTCATTTACTAACATTACTGATACAGACAATATAGATACAACTTCTAGATAGCTAGGACATTTTCCCACTACTTCTACGCTTGTAGTCTGTACTCATTCATATCCACCAATAAAATGATTCCACATCAAAGGACAGCGCGCTTACATAGTAAGAAGGCAACTTAACAGTTGTCAAGCATCAAAGTTGGAATAGAAGCTGCAACTTCATCACTTGCAGAAACTAATCAAACCCCAAATCACAGAAAACCAACACAAGGTACAGAAATTAAAACAAGATGAAAACCCATTACTTTGACTTAATTTGGAGTTGTACAAACAGAGATTAAAAAACGACCCAGAATCAGCAATCATGTAGAGGCTGCAATTTAGTACCTTGATCTCATTATCGGTTCTCTTCTGTGTTTGATCCTGTTTTTCACTGGAGAAGATGTATTAAGCCATAATCGTCGTCCGACTCTGAGAAGGTAAGTAAGAAATAATAAGAAGGGACCCCCTTTAGTGTATACACGTAGCGGTGTGGAAGCTTTAGTACTATACCTGGAAGCTGGAATCCAAAGTGCAAAATAAATTTGAATTTAGATTAGAGTTGGTGTCCGTTTGTCTGTGTATCCTTGCTTCGTTAAACTGACGTGGACTGCACCCATATTTGATGTGTGACCAACTCATTGGCGGGTATGAGGAAACACTCGTACAAACGTAGGACCAAAACACAAAGTGATCAAAAATCCGAAAGCTTTTTACATGGAACGCCTGTCAAGTGTCATCTCCCCACACCGAATAGCTAGTGAATACAATTATGATTATACAATCGTGCTGAATGGTGAATAGAAAAGTTGGACTCGGATTGAGGCTTCCGTTTCACACCGACACACGTTGACGGTTGACCCACACTGCCTCTGATTGACTGATTCTGATTCGATTCAAAATGTCGCCCTTGGTTTACTGTACCCTGTCCTATAGATTCGGATCAGGATGGTCCGACTATACCGATGGTCTCCGGCCAACCGGATCAATATATGAATTGAAATGAAATGAAAGTAGTTGGGAGTTGGGACATACTGTATGCAGAATCGCCAGATAGGAAAACTCGTCCAACGCTTGCACTTATACCTAGCTTCTCCCTTGTTAGGGCCGTTTGGTACCTTTGCTGTTTTTAAAGTATGAACGTGAGTCACCGCCTTTTGAGTTTTTTTTTTTTAAATCTTTCTATTCGATCGGCATCGGTTGGAGTCTGTTTTTGAGTTAAAAAGAGTCATTGCATAAAAATCCCTATCAGGGTGTGTTTCAACTTTCAAGAAACATCAGTTGAGTTAATTAGATGTTTCATTCTCCAGAAAGGGCTAGTTGTAGGGGGAGCTGGAATTCAGAATTCTGTATCCGTACTTCTCCAAACAATTTAAGCTCCGATTGATTGATGTAAAATTGATGTGATGTTCACATGAACAATAAATACAAATTTCTCACCAAACAGGGTTAAATACAAACAGTGATGCTTGTGTTTCAACTTTCAACTGATAATATTGCAGGTTGAAACACCAACTATGTCTTCTCTTGTCCCTTGCGTTGTCTTGGTTCAATCCCCGGCCTACATTCAATTTAGATTTCTTGCATTTTTCTTATACTTTCCTGCGCTTCATATCAACGTATATATGACATACTCTCTATGATCAGATACCCACAATCTGTTCTCACATCTTTTACCTACAGCACATATTACTGCTGTGAATTGAGAATCTCTCTCGTATCATTCATGGGGTGATGATCTAAATACACAGCGGCGTTGTTCTATGGATAAAACAGAGTGTGGGTAGCAGATCCTGACTCCTGAGTGTTCTATTAAAGTGTGCGAATTTGATTATTATATTACCATCTGTCAAAGAAGCTGGACAAAAGACAAGACATTGAATTGGAACCTTTAGTTAATTTGATTGGCCCTACCCAAATGAGTTCGGATCTGGTCCCATCTGCCATTGGGAATATCTCCTTTATCATTCACGGGGAAATGCTTCAAATACACGGTGGTAGTATTCTTTGGATATAAATGTGGGAAAAATTACAAGTAGCAGATCCAGAATATTGTCCTTTATGGCATGGCAAGATATTCTCGATGTATGGCCGCAATGGCTGTTTGGAGTAGGACCTTGTGTTGTGACTTTAGATCATCTTAAGGCCAAAATGAAGGAGAAATCAGAACTTTAGAAACATCGATGATATTAATGGGTCCTTGCAGAAAACAAATGAGTAGAGCTTTTTTGACCAAGGGCATCATCTCCTATTGGAACCATACTAAGAAGTACGAACGGGACTGTAAGTGTAACGCCCGTGTATGCTGACGGTGACGGTGGGGTAGCCAAAGTGAATAGCATTGTTTGTGGGATTGATAATTGGGTGATATTAGAATTGGATAGGATATCCTCCGCCCAGGCGCCCACCCAACGTCGGGCCACGGGCCCACCTACTCGATATTTTTCCAAGATGGACTTTGGAAGTTGGAACCATGATGGCCCAATCCAGAAGCTCCATACAATTAATTCCAAGCCAAAAAAAAGAAAAGATCTTGTTTTCACACCAAGCGTAAAAGGACCGGGATGGACCTAGTCGTCCTTTAATTTATTTATTTAAACGGGCCCCGTCCCGCTAGTCATAGACGCATTATAATTTATAAAGCCCAGGGAAGGGAAGGGGGGATCATCAAAAAGCTCATATAGACATGATAATGCATGCCAAGATAGAAAAACAGGGAGGAGACAGGTGGTACACATTGCTGGAGGGGAGCACTTGTGAAGGGGCCGAATGATGAAAAGCTTTTTGAGGGGCCCACACGTGTGAACATGCCTTTCTTTTGGCATTGGTAGGAATGGGCCAATGCCCCCACCCCCCGTCCGCCCGTCATCTTTAGTGCCTTTGGGCGAGCATGGTTCAACCACACGTGTGCCTGTGTGTTGTAAAATAGGAGATAAAAGCTTCCCACATATGTACATCTCACTTGCTTAATTTGCCTACTTTTACGCCTGGCCGTTCCCTTCTTCTTTAAACTAAAATAACCACATAAGTAGTAGGGAAGAGGGTACTTAAACAAAGTAAAAGCTTGCCATAGACATTAATAGGGTACTTGGTAATTGCAAGTGATGACTCAGTACTCCTCGATCCTTAAGACTTTGGAGGACGGCCCATGTTATATTTTTGACATAATAACTGCAACTTTTTGTACTTTGTTGGGTGCGAGATTGAGTATTATTGACACACAACATTTTGGCTTTACACACTTATTAGGGTTATAGGTCCATATGTGCATTGGATTTGGACCCTCTATATTTCTTTTCATATTTGGGGAAATAACCCTACTAAATCTCTCCGTTAAAACCCCAAACCCAAATGGTTCCAGTTTAATTATAAGAAAACCGGGGGTAGAGAGAGTAATTTAGGTGTACGTGGTGGATGATCATGGAGGGATGCCGAATGACCATCTTGATTGCTGGCTGGTATGGGTAGTTATGATGGATACAATTCTTTTCTTGTATTGCCATTCCACCAGAACTTTAGGTAATATTGGATAGGTTTGGTCTTTGGAGTGTTTCAACTTCATTGGTTGTTTCTAGCTCAATAATTACATTTTATGTGGTCCCACTTTATGTCCTCACATCAGCCCAGCCCACTCTTTTAATCAACATAATCATGGGGCGGGACTTAGGGTTAGGCCAAGAGTTACCCATCCCTAACTAGCCACAAATATAATTAGGGTCAATATTAATGGAGCCATTTCCTAAGAACAGACATGTATCCGTATGTGTAATTGAATGGGTGTGTGTGTGTATACGTTTATATTGGATGCAATTAGGGCTTTTTAACATTGTGTTATATTTGTTGATTCCCCCTTATAATATGTGCTTGTGTTTTCCATTCATTAGTTGTTTGAAAGCGAGACACGGTCATAGTGGGGTCTCACTTTCACTATCGAATCTAAGTGTCTTTAGGGAGGACCACGCAAGGCTACAGCCTATAAGATGCGAATAGATAAATGGGTACAAATAAAAATATCAATGTGTGAAGAGAGCGACGTCTCTCTCTCTCTCTAAAATAATATAAATTAAACAAACAAAAGTTCATAAGACAAATTGAATTAAACCCCATGTCATTAACTTAACACCAAAGTTGTATGTTGGTGCCAGGCAACCTACACTTATACAGCGTAGCGTGCGGACTTAATCTAAACTGTTTATTTAACGGGTTGTATGGGGGATTTTAGTTAGATGTCCATGTGATGGTCCACTAATTGTACGGTATTGATGGAACATGTTGGGTTTCGAAAGAAGCTTTAAATTACAAAAAAAAAAAAGGATGATAAAATTTCAGTTAAGTAATAAGCCAATTAATGGGTTGGAGGTATGGGGCAGAACAAGTTTCTTAGGCGTGCATCCTGGCGTGAGCCTGAGGTTATCCTAACATGGATGGGCTACCTAAGCATAAGCAGTGGCAAATAGGTAGAGACAAAAATCTATTCTATTATTAATCCCCTTTTGTCTTTCCCTCCTCTCCTCTTCATAATGATAATACAATTTATTATAGTTGTCCAAGTCTAAGGTTGAATGGTTAATGAATGATGACATGGCAGAGAAGGAGAGAAGAAACATTCCCACAAGGGCCACAACCTAACATCCTATCCTCTCCACTCATCTCCACTGCCATAGGTATAAATAGCTTTACTTGCTTTAATTTCTCTCCTTATTACATCCATTCATTAACCATCTAATGGAATAATGGATTTTCACAACTCCACCCAATCCCCCCCCCATTAGTATCTAGTGTTAATAGCCAGTAAGTACTACTAGTGGTAGTGGTAATGATCGTTTTCTCTCTCTCTCTCTCTCTCTCTCTCTCTCTCTCTCTCTCTATCTATCTATCTCTATCTCTCTCCCTTTGTTTTCTCGTTTCTGTTGAATTCAATTTTGACAACTGAATGTTCATTAATCTCAAGTCCCTACTACTGGTGGAATAGAGAAGAGCTTAGTGTGTGTCTGTTGGTGTTTTAGATTATGGCATTTGAAGAGAAGGTTAAGATAAGGAGCTACAACAGTCGAATTGATCGAGGTCGGGTGGAGGATCTGGAGCGAAGATGCGAGGTAGGGCCAGCACAGAGCGTTCTTCTCTTCACGGACACGATGGGCGACCCCATCTGTAGAATCCGAAACAGTCCTCTCTACAAAATGCTGGTACCACCTATTCATTCTATTCCTTTCCATTAATTGTGATCTATATCTTGTTTCAATTCACCCTCTCTCTCTCTCTCTCTCTCTCTCTCTCAAGGAATGAAGGAATTAGTAATAAATAAAAATTACAATTCACTTCTAATCGTAATCTTACTTAAAATATGTTATAGGTGGCCGAGTTGAATAACGAATTGGTTGGTGTCATTCAAGGTTCAATAAAGTTGGTAACCTTCTCTACCCCAACCAGGAATCGAGCCGTGGTGGGTTATATCTTGGGCCTCAGAGTTTCGCCTCATCACAGACGAAAGGGCATTGGTTTGAGCCTGGTGCGACGACTGGAAGAATGGTTCATTGCTAATCACGTCGACTTCGCCTACATGGCCACCGAGAAGGATAATGAAGCCTCGGTGAAACTCTTCACCGAGAAGCTTGGGTTTGTCAAATTCAGAACTCCTTCGATACTCGTTAACCCAGTGCAGTACCACGCAATGCGTATCTCACGGGAGGTAAAGGTTGTGAAGCTTAAGGTAGAAGAAGCTGAGTACCTGTACAGAAGATTTATGGGCTCCACCGAGTTCTTTCCTCATGACATAGACCGAATCCTGAGGAACAAACTGAGCTTGGGTACGTGGGTCGCTTACCCGCGAGGCGAGTCGTGGGATGAGTTGAGATCAGCTGGGCTTGTCCCTTCTAGCTGGGCCATGGTCAGTGTATGGAACAGCGGAGGCATATTCAAGCTAAGGGTAGGCAAAGCACCTCTTTCTTGCCATATCTATTCGAAGAGCTCGAGAATGATGGATCGAATCTTCCCCTGCCTGAGGATACCGGCCCTGCCGGATGTCTTCCACCCCTTTGGCTTCTATTTCATGTATGGCATGCATGGAGAGGGTCGGAGGTCCGGCGAGTTGGTTCGTGCACTATGCCGGTTTGTACATAACATGGCTACTGAATGTAAGGATTGTAAAGTAATCGTAACGGAGGTAGGGGGTTGCGACGCAGTGAGACTTGAAGAAATCCCACATTGGAAATTATTGTCCTGTCCTGAAGACTTGTGGTGCATAAAAGCGTTGAGAAAGGAAGATCAACATACTGTAATGGGATGGACAAAAACCCCAACCACAACTACAAGAGGAGTAGTCTTCGTCGACCCTAGAGAAGTTTGATTTTTGATGATTATTGAATCCAAAGGGCAAAGGGGCCCTGCAACTACTACAACCCAACCCCCCACTCAGATGTAAAATCTGTATGCCTGCAGTCCATCTCCATCCCAGACCCTCCTTATGGTGCCTTGCTCTTGTTCCTTTCAATTCCACGACATAGAATCTCTAGAGATTTCCTTAATTAGTCCGCCCTCAGTGGCTTTTCTCTGTTGTATTCTCTCTCTCTCTCTCGTAGTCTCGTGACATGAACCAGTCAGGCGTCTGGGAGTGGTGGTCCATCTCTGGTGTGTCCCCGCTACAGTACAAAGTCCGAAAGGACCTACCCCTCGCAGCCTGCCAAGTCTGACTGGCAGTGTAACTTTGCAGTGCAAACTGCAAAGAGAAGAGATGGGATGCGATTTACAAGGGAAGCGTATAGCGCGCGAGAGACAAGGGAAATAGCTAGCCCCTAGGGGTCCCCCCTTCTTCAGTGAGAAGAATACATACTGAGTAGTTGAGTAACTGAGTACCTCCTCCGCCTGGGCCTGGCGACTGGCTCGTCGTCTCGTCTGCTTTATCGACGGGGGGATTCGATCATCATACATCGATGATCCGTTGCCACTCTCTCTCTCCGTCTCACTAGTCACTATTGATCAGTACTCACTACTCAGTCAGTACTAGACTACTAATCACTCACTCACTCACTCAATCAATCCCCACCCCCATATCCCCCCATGCCCCATCCCAGTCAGTAGTAATAAGTCATTCCCGGTTATCTTGCATTACCGTTGCGGGCGGCACTGAGACCAGATGTGCTCCTCACACGAACATTACGGGAGATGTTCCCAATGCACGATGGATGTGCCTGTGAGGCGTCCGCCTCATGTGTGAAGAGTAGATCCCGTTCCGGCGGCACTGCCCAATGCCCATTGGTCATTACTTTAACCGGGGGAGGGGGCTGTGTCAACCTCAATCCGCAGACAGAGTCGAGCATGCACGTGGAATGTAATTCACTCACCGATAATCGGGTGAATTGGTGGTTGCAATTACAAGTGGAAAGTCGTAGTCAAGACCATATATGGATAAACTGGGCAGGAGTCAGAGTCCGTAGCCTTCCCTATCCGTGAAACAAGGAACCCAGCTAGCTAACTATTTATTGCCTTTATTTGATCGAGTGTATTTCGATATGCATGCATGTGAACATTGTGAAGCAACCTCTACAAACCGGGAAACTGATTGTAACGATGATTAGCATTTAGTAAGATGACAATGACGACGACCGATGGCAACCAGGACGACGACCACCACCACCACCACCCTGATGATGGCATGCAATGGTGATGACTGATAAATCCATATTGCCCACCCCCACAAAAGAAGAAAAAAAAACAACCCAAACCCATCAACTCCATCAGCTCATGAATTCCAATACTTAGAGAGACCAGCCTTTGTCGTCTTATCAAAAATTAAATAAGTTTGTGTGGTGTGGCCGTGTGGGGCACGGCATGGATCAAACTCAGACCACTCGTCCAAATTCAAATCTCTAATTGCTGCAGGGCTTAAGCCTTAAGCCATGTATGTCTATGTTAAAAAGCTGATAATAGAAACGATGTGAGGTCTGAGGCCACCAGGCCAGTACACTTGTTTCTGCCTTGTGAGTTGTGTCTCTGCTAAATGATTTAATTAATAATATTGGATGGAGATAGATTAAAACAAATTCCATAGAGTTACCATTTAAGGGAACCTTTAATTTTGGTTTTATGCTGATATAAAAGGGAAAGGAGGCAACAGAACATGTGTGCAAGGCAAGGGATCCTATCCATGGATGTGACTTTTGAGAACATATGCCAACGACCGAACCCAACTCCAAAAACCGATTGATTCGATCTTGGACCCTTTCGTAATCTTTGTGCTAATGACTGTCGGCAACTCAACTCAGCTTTCACTCTCAACACACTAGGCGTCTAAGCCCTTGAGTTGATATGCCTGGAGACCTTGTCTCTCAATCATCAATTTTCTACCCGCTATTAGGAAAAAAAATAAAAGCCATTAATGATCAAAAGTTTCCTGTTTTTGCTGCATTATTGGTTCTACAGTTTGGAGCCATATACCAAAACATATGGCCCATAAATTAAATGATGATGGACACCAGTTTATACTTCTCTAGTAATATAATTATAGTTAAATATGATACAGCTTAATTATTATGCAGTTTAGTGCTCAAATATAATCTGGATTCTGGAATGGGAAAATGAAAAAATTAAAAAGAAAAATCATTAATGAAACATACGGAATCTTTAGAGAGATGGCCGATGGGGGAGCCAGCCATAAGCCATTATTGGTATACCATCGTCGGATATCTCTGTTGATCCCAAATCTACTTTTGCAGATCTGGTGCAAGTATTTATGTTGCTGAATTTTGATCATGTAAGGATTGAAGAAAAGAAACCATTATTGAGCGGTGGTGAAGCTGTGATATTTTTCTTTTTTTAGGAGGAGGAGACTAAACATTCTGTGCTATTATCCCTTCAGACTTGCTCCGGTGGGTAAGTGCTCTCATGTCTGTCTCTGGTCCCTAAAATTAAGCAAGGATTTTCTGTATCACACCCTTCCAACTGGAACAAACATGGTATTATCATCACTACTCCATTTGATTCTCATCATATCTTGAACAAATTTGAAAGCAAAGCCCAGTTCGTTTCTAAAGGTTTGGTTGAGAAAGACCATAAAAATCAACGATTTTCTTCATTTTTCCATACTCTCTTTTGACAAGGGTTTTGATTTATCTCTTATGCCTAGCTATTTAAATTACTCTATCGAAACTCCCTCTAAATTTTTATGATGAAAGCTTCTTGAGATTGATTATTGCGTAGCTACGTATGTATATGTGGTAGGGTCCTATGCATTGATCCAGCAACTTTGAAACTAACACGAATGTTGACGACTTACATGTAAAGATGGGTTTCGGCAAAATACTGTCTTTGAAAATTCACCAAAATACTACACCCGTTGTTGTTACAAACAATGTTGTGAAGAATAGGAGTGCAGACAAAGTTTGAAAACAAAAGATTATCATAGTAGTTCAAAGGAACAAATTAAAGGATATAGTAGACGCTTAAAAAGGATAATGGTCCAATAAAATAAAACTGGGCCAGAAAAAATGAACAATTACATCTTGAGAAGGAAGAACAATTAAATCATAAGATCAATTCATGCAACATCCTATTCAGCTGTCCTTTAGGGATGAGAAGGAAGAACAGTCAAATCCTGGGATAAGAGATGGTGATGATCCTATTTTGATGGAAATTGATCAATGCAAGATCCTATTCAGCCATCATTTAAGGAGGTAGTGATCGATGATGATATAAAATGAAGAAGAAGATAGTGTTCGACAAAATGCCTCTACCAAAATTAATGATTGAAAGGAATTTCAAAAGGAAGAGGGACTTAAGAAAGAAAGATGATGTTGTGATCTATGTTTAAGAAATGTTTTGGAAATGAATTCCCATTAGAAGAATTGATGCTCATACTGCATTACAGGATCTTCTTACTTGAAGAATCAAGAAACATTAGATGAATCAGTTTAAGTGTGTTAGAGCAGGAAAGGAATTCGTAGAGAGAATGGTGGCCGCACAATCTAATGTTAGGAGGAGATGCTGGGATGATGTGACTACTATTTGGATGGTGGAGGAAGAACAACAAAGGAAGGAAATAAGTTAGAAAGTAGAAGATTTCAGGGGTAAGAATTATTTGGTTAAAATTGAAAAACCGAATCGAAAGTTTTGGTTTCGGTTTTTCGGTTTGGTCTTTCGGGTTTTGGTTAATGCGGTTCAGTTAATTTGATTTTTGAATATTTTGCCTTTGGTGTCTGTTTTTAGAATTAGAAATCCAGTTGATTGAAAAATCAAATTAACCGAACTTCGACTATTTCGATTGTAATTAAAAAATAAAACAAAAATTTTCGACTTTGACTATTTCGGTTTTTCTATGATTCGTTTCAGTTCAGTTTTCATTTTTTCAGGTTTGGTTTTTAAAATTTTGTTTTATTCAATTCGACTAGGAGGTGAGTTAATGAGTCTAAAAAATGAATCAATCTCGCTTATGGTAAATCTATCCGTACTATTGAAAAATCTTATCATAAAAAAAAAAAACACACATTAGGCCAATTCTTCTTAAGAAGTAAAATCAAATCGGAAAAAGATATTTGAAGGATGATTAATTAGAATGAAGAATGGAAGATAATAGAGAAAAAAGAAAAAAAAAAGAATCAATATAAGGAGAAACATGAGACTTTGCCCGACAATCAATCAGACATAGTTGGGAAATCATGAGCAATTAAAACAAATATTATCATCCTTGGTAATCTTCTTTGACATGGGTATAGATTAGAGTCATAGTTTCTTTTGGAGGGTTTCATATGATGATTTGTTAATCTACATGTAGAAATTGTTTTGGGATCCTTGATTGAGAATTCAGAAAGGAAAGGGGACGTTCAATTCGGCTCGAAACAAGAGTTGCCAGTGGGCCATTTCTGGCCCTTTTGGACTGCCATTTTTTTTGCTTTGCTTTTACAGAAGTGAATTTGAATTATTAAAATGTGATCATCCCCTCCGTGAAATTTCTATTTCACTAAAACCCCCAAATTTAGAATGTTTAAACCCTGCATTTCTCATACTTAATTCTGCTGCATAAAAGCAGCCAAACGATGGAGTCTAGGGAGGCAAAGAATTCAGTCCCTAATTAATTCTAAATTCCACCCTGGTCCAAACGCAACTTAAAAGGCCCAACTAGATAGCAGACCCTTCGCCATATTTCAATTCCGATTCCAATCCCTCTAGAGGAGGAAGTTATGGGTGGGTCGCTTTATTTTGGAGATGAAGATCTGAAAATTTTCAGATCAAGAAAGAATATGCATCTGGGTTTACTCTCTGACAACTCATCTCATGACAGCCATAGTAAGTCATGTAGGTATTTAGTCGATTTATCAAACCCTGACATGTTGTCACAGGTGACTCCTTCGTCGCGCYATCAAGCACCTACACTGAGCCATCCGAGTGCCAACCGCATGCCTTCATGGTGTCAACATGTGTGTCATGGGTGGGCTTTGCTTGTATTTTGTAAGGGGGACCGCCAATGGCGTTATTGTAATTACTTAGTATGCTTTTTCATCATTTTGATGTTTCCTATTGTCACTCCCCCAAAAGCTTAACGTACTCTTTGAGGGGAGGTAGGTAGTCGAGTGAGCTCATAAGCGTGTAAAGGTTAAGCACGAGATCCCCTCGACACTGTACTGTGTGCTTGTGCTTACCACTGATTAATGCAATACAAGTAGCCTTTTGCTAATTCGTGTGCCATCTTGTTGCCTTTGTGTGTGTGTTTGCTTTGTTTCGTAGGCTTACTCGCCCATTTCGAGTGNCAATACAAGTAGCCTTTTGCTAATTCGTGTGCCATCTTGTTGCCTTTGTGTGTGTGTTTGCTTTGTTTCGTAGGCTTACTCGCCCATTTCGAGTGCCGCACGGGGCCCCAACGATTACCCCCGTGACAGTTGGTATCAGAGCAGGTGCTCCTACGAGTACTCTGGACCGTCTTCGTCCCTACATCAA